TTTCTGTTAAGTAAAAAATCTTGCCCATCCATCAAAACCCAGTTTAAATGCGGCTGCCTCCTGGAAAACATATCTTGCATTTACTCTTCTTATCTTTACTCCATTAGAAATTCTCCCGCCACTAAAATCTACTTATTTGTATCCTTCTTATGGCATTTAAAACTTTCCTTTAAAACGTGTGTATTGTTTTCTCCTCTACTTGATTAAGTTCTTTAAAGGAAAAGACACTCCCTATCAAAGTATGTCTTCCGTAACGAGACAAAGTACTTTGCCTATGGTAGGTACATCATAAAGGAAAGGAAAACACAAATAACTGCACAACTCTTTAGGAGTACAGAAAACAGACAGAGAAAAGAAAAGAAGGATTAAGCTGAGGAAAGCTCTCTAGAGCGTTTGGGACCTAGAGTCACAATCATAGTCAGCAATTAGAATCACCCAGTGAGTTAAAAAAAAAACTTTTAAATCCAGGGACCAATCCAGATCTAGTGGATCAAACCACTTATGCCAATAACCTGCCACCTGTGAAGGTAATAGAGAAAATTTTTAAATTCATGCAATAGCCTAAAGTTGACTTGGTAATATTTTATACTAGGATAGCTTTCATTTTGACTCACCCTAACCATCAAAAATTAAATAGTATACTATTCATCTCCCTTACATCTCTATGAGCTGGGTAAAATTAACCTTATCAAATTCTTTAATGAATATTCCAAAATGTCAGCATTTTGAATGCATGATATGCTTCAGTGCAATATTAGCCAGGCAAGATAAATTGGTTTAAATTAACACAACCACTCACATCAACCTTACTTCAACAGACTTGGTATCAAGGGACTTTATTTAGACCACTTCAAAATCAAAGATATCCCCTCAGAAAGTTAGGATCTAGTGTTCTAAGCCTTTGACAACAAATCAGAGTTCTATTAACTAAGCATTCTGCGTAACTGCTTTGAAGGTGGCAACAATTCTATGTCCTGGGTATGTGCATTAAAAACCATCACTCTAATGTACTCAAAGTATCAAGCAGTAAAATATTGTAACTGGAATTTGCTTTTAAAAACTCCTAAGTATGTGAAGGTGGATAAATGAAATAAGAATGACATTTTTAAAATCTTTAAGATGGATGATAGGCTTACTGGGGTTCATTATTTGGTTCCATTTCAAAATATACACAAATATATTTATACTTATATATACTTAAACATTTTCAAAATCAACTTAAAAAGATTATCACTTTAAAGTTTTGCCTCAAGTGTCACTTAAGATAAATAGGAAAAGAGAACCTACCTCTTACCTTAAACGTACTGTTATGTAATGGTACAATATTCCTCCAAAACCCACAAAAGATTAACTTATTTCTTAAGAAAAGTCAGTAGCATATTTATATCAAAAGGTTTAAGAAAAATCCCAAGAATTGCCATTAATTCCTTTTTTATGCCTCACTGTATCTTCATTTCATATCCTCAACTAAACAGATTTTTAAAATCCGCAGTAATTAATGTTTAATTTTAAAAATGTGCCATTCCTACTGAACTGACATAATGCACCGTTCTACCTACTATTTCCAAATAAAGTTGATGAAGGGCTTATTTCTGAAGTTAGGAAGTATGCACAGAACTTCCAATTCTAAGCCTAACTGCATTCAACTAAGAGATCACTTCTGAACACGTAAAGACTATAGCTAGAGAACCAAGAAAATAGTAAGTGCTTTCTTAAAGGATATTCACATAAGCCCCATTGATTACTACCTCTTTTAGAGTTAAAGAAAACTTAAAAAAAAAAATAAGGGACAGAAGAACCCAAACAAGACAATTCTCCAAGGAAGACATACAAATGATCAAAAGT